CTTATCTCAACAGCTCCAGTCATATCCGTTATTTCACATGTAAAGCATTTGAATCTGTTTAATGACCCAACCTGCTCTCCTATTTACTGCTTTAGATTGACAGACTCTCTGAAATTATAACACCTATAAATGAACGATAATTCTCAGAGTATGGTTTTACCAGTATGGAGTTTATGGAAGATTTCTCTCCTTCTATGCCACATGTTTAAAAGTATGAGTACATTCTTGCTCCCTGTCCAGAATAGTCATACCCTAATAGTGTTCTCTATCCATTTTTATTTATTTTAATAACCTTTTCCTCATCTACAATTCTTAAAATGTTCCATTTGTAAGTTGGCTTAATATAATTTAAATTGCCATAATAGAGAATTACTTGACTCAGTTCCAAATTAAAGTGCTGGAAAAAAATGGAAGCTCTAGCAATTTTAAATTGCTTTACCCTCAACCTGGCAATTAAAAATAATTGCCACACTTTCAGTTTTGTAAAGTTGCTCAGTCTGGATGTGGCTGAGATCCTGGTTTGTTAAAATAAAAAGAAGAAAAAGTACATTGTGTCTAATTATTACAAAGGTTTTAAGTAATAAAATTGTCTTGCTTGGGTAAAATCAGGTTTCTAATGCAACAGACTCTTTTAAATACTTCAAAAGACTTCCATTTAAGTAATTCAGTTCTGAGTAGAAATCAGCGGTGGTTTATTTATCAAAATGTTCAGAAAGAAATAGAATGTCAATCACGTTGTAGAGGGATTTCAGCCTTGAGTTACAGGACATAACAGGACTCACCGGAGCCTTGGAAAGTCAGCTTCATAAACATCTACCAAGCTAGGTTCATATCTCAATACAAAATAACCAGTAAAGCAACTACTGTCCTTTGGTGAAAAAAATTAGAGAAGGCCCTCATTTTGAAGTCATTAATTGCAAACAAATCATTTGGGCATAATTTAGACTAGCTAATACTTTTGGTCTTAGAAGTTCCCTTAAGTATCAGATTTACTGGAAACAGCTTATAGAGAATTATATTTTCCTTAAAACACAAAGAGCTTGAAGAGAATGGGACTTTAGAACCATATAATCTGTATAACCTACAAATTATAAATATTAACCTGGTTAGTGAATGTACATTTCCATTTCTTCTAAAATCTTCTTTCACAATTTATAACAGTGGCTGTGAATATTCCCCATACTTTAATTTCATCCATATGGCTTGCCAGGTTTTTTCATGTGCTGCAATTCCCTCTTTATATTTGGACTTCCTTTAAAAAGTTTTGATAATACCATTCACGACTACCTACTGCCAACTCTTGCATTTTTGAACCTTAATATGTATGCAGAGCATAGCAATAAGTGCCTGTAGGTAAACCAAAAGAACATAAAGCTCTAGAAATAAACGTTTGAAATGCAAAACTAGTCTGGCCTTTAATCAAACATTTATTAAGTGCTGACATAGGTCTGGTACTCAGTGGGACACTAGATCAGAGTGCTTACAGTAATTTTGCATGCCAGGAAATGTGTATGGCTCAGGTGGTACGTTCGCCTTGGTTTGAAATTTTTTTAAACAAATGCTTTTCACTGGGTTTTTTGGCTCCAGTCAAACTGATGATTATTATTCTATCCATGTCTATTTTGGAGCTAAAGAAAAGGTTGAAGAAGTTTTATCTTAACCCATTTTTAAAGGGACAGAGGTCTGTTAGGAAGTGAATAACTGTATTTTAACATGCTTGATTATAAAAATAATGACAAATAATTACAACAATGACATGTATTATTTCCTTTAATTCCCCCCAAAAAAACTATAAATTTGCTACTGTTGTTATTCTAGTTTTTTAGTTGTGGTAAGAGAGTTTAGAAAAGGGTAACAGCATACTCAATACCTCATATCTGGTAAATGGAAGAAATGCGTTTGGGCCAGTCTCTTTCCCTGCAGAGTATGAGCATTTGACCAGTGATTCCTATATTATAATAAATGTGCTAAGGTACTAATGATATAACAATTTCTTTTAATTTTTGTTATAAATGTTTCCTTATTTATTGTCTCCCAATAATACTTGGAAAGGTGAATGAAAAACTTTGAAGCTGTTGAGGAATAGCTAACACTTTTGAGTTCAGAACATACAATTACGTGTATATTATGTTACTTTCATCAAATTATTTCATGCTTTAAGTAGTTTCTGAATTACAGCAGTTCAATATTATAGCTGTCTGGATGGGTCTTCCAGATTTTAGGTGGAGCTTCTCATTTTCCAGTTTTATTCCACAATCATGTCTTACTCTGAATTCTTTTGTATTATGTTTTTAAAAATTCAGAGAGCATGGAAAGAGCCCTCCGGTATTGGAAATGGCATTCAAGTTGAAGACAAATTTTAATTCTGTTTCTTACATCTTGAGCTACCTTAGAGGGATTAACTCAATTGTTTTGCAATAAAACAAGAACTTAGACTAAATGAAGACATTTCTAAGTATCGTTCTTGCTTTAAATGTAATTATGCCTCCTTAATCTAAATTGTTACTAATCATGAATTTAAAAAATAAATTGGGTCTATTATACAGGTATAAAGATACGTGAAAAAAATTTGAGTGGGGAACCGGATGGAGGGACGTTTGCTAAATGTGGATGAGCAAAAGGAAGAATGTGTCCACAGCGAGGAAGATGAGGACCTGACAACTGGGACAGCTGGGGGACGGCCCATGAACACCAGCCTTTCCAACTGTCGACCGATAACCCAGAGAAATAAGACCACACAGAATGGGGAATGTTGACTGTGAATTGATAACCACTAATTACCTTTTGCTTAAAAACAGGGTAGATTATACCTATTGTCATTCTAATTATTATTATTCATTTAAAATGGTTTATATTTTATTATAGGTCAAGATTTGTGGCAACTATAAAATTTGAATTAATCTATTTTTAGGGCCATGTTAAATCATGAATGTGGAAAATTTTTGCAGAAACAAAATATTCCTGTATAAAGAAAACGGTTTTGTCAAAGAATAACAACCGTTTAATGTCCACCTGACATTGATATTTGTTGATCCCGGCCTCCCACCATATTCTTCAAAAAAGGACATGAAGAGGATGACACAAATGCCTAAAATAGACTGCTTAAAGAAAATAGTGGGACGAAAAGAGAAAGCAGAATAAATAATGCGATGTTATATGAGAAGGTGAGGTCTATAAATGTATCCTTCAAAATGGTAAAATTGGTTGACATTAAGCTGCACAGACATTTGCTGTCTTCATGTGTTTACTCATAGTAATTTTCTCCATCATTATATTGATCTCTTATGCTTTACAATGTTTTTAACCTATGAGGGTTATTATGTAAGTATTTTATAAAATATTACTTTTCCAAATGAAATTTAAT